GGTGGGGCAGGAGGAGGGGTCGGTGGAAGGGGGGCGGCAGGGCAGGAGGAGGGGCAACAGGAGGGGCTGGAGGGGTATACTCAGTGTAACAACAAAACAGAAAGTTCAAAAAAAAAACATACAGCGCATGCGCGGATAAATTGCCTGGAGAAGGGCGGCGCTTGTACATAAAAGCCGGGAGTCGATGTTTGTGTTTAGTATCAAGCAAGCATTCAACCTAGAATTTATTCGCGGTTTACAAATTTATATAAACAATTGAGTAATTAATTCAACAATGTCAACAACACTGCTGAGGATGGGACTGCGATCCATGGGGAGGGGAATGAATTTTGAAAAAATCATTCCACCTGTCAATAATTCATTGTTGAGAGCAGCGAAAAGGGCCGCTACGCAAAAACATCAGGTAAATCATCAGATTTTCATTTTATTTTTATAGATAATATTTATTTTAAAACAGTACATATTGTGGATTGTTTGAAATAATTGGTTGATATTTCGCGGTGAATTCTTGGACGTTTGAGGGATTTCTGTATCAATGAATTGTTCAATTCTTGCAGAATAATTTCTTGAGTTATTCTGAAAGTGCAATAACCCCTCGTCCTCTGTGAAAGGCACAGAAAATGCAGTTTATTTCTCTCTTCTTTTCATCCGCACGTAGCAACAGGGAATTTCATAAGAAATTTGCGAATTTAAGTCGATCATTGGTTTAACGGACAAATTCATTTTTATTGTTGATGTTATCCGGTGGAAATTGAGCACAAGGTGGTCAACATGTGCTGGTAATTTTATTTCTGTAAATTAAAAAGCAAATGGGGTTCACCCACACGTGTCTGTTGGTTCCTGGGAATTTTAAGAAGGGCATCCGCACAAAGGGTTTAAAATTCTACGACGCAATTTGTACACAGGAACTGGGGGGTGAGGGCCCGTTGGGCCCTGAACCTCTAAAAAATCAATAAATGTGTGAGTAAATAGCGAATACGAATTCGCAATAGTGAGATAAGTTCAGACAAATATTTTCTTATTTATCTCCCGTCAGTTATTGGCAAACTTTTGCGATAAGAAAAAATAAGTGTTGGATCGTTAGAGGAGGTGAACGGACAGCCATGAACTCCATGAAAAGGGTGTGCAATTATTTTTCAATTGAACTAGATAACAGAACAAGAGTTATAAATACATTCACAAACAATTTGCGCAATCTCGATTTTAACTGTAAAAATAGCGAGGGAAGTATTTAAAATAATATTCGGAATTTGAAGATATTTTGAATTGCTAAAAATTTCGGAATAATCAAAATAATTCATAAACAATTTGCGCAATCCCATTCTTAACCGTAAAAATAGCGAGGGAAGTATTTAAAATAATATTCGGAATTTGAAGATATTGTGAATTACTAAAAATGTCAGAACAATCAAAATAATTCGAGAGAAGTATTTAAAATAATATTCGAAATTTGAAGATATTGTGAATTGCTAAAAATGTCAGAACAATCAAAATAATTCGAGAGAAGTATTTAAAATAATATTCGGAATTTGAAGATATTGTGAATTACTAAAAATGTCGGAATAATCAAAATATTTCGAGAGAAGTATTTAAAATAATATTCGGAAATTGAAGATATTTTTAATCGCTAAAAATGTCGGAGTAATCGAAATAATTCTTCTTCTTTTTTTTTGCAGCTCCAGATTACGAGGGCAATGTCAGGGAAGAGAAATGTCCATCACTCACCCGCATCTGCAACTGCTGAATTAGAGAATAACAGCGACAGTGACTCCGACAGTGAATCAAGGGTATATAAATCCTTATGCAAATCACGATTGTTCATTATTCCGAATTCACAACATCCGCCCTCTCCTTTTTATTGAACCCGCAGTCTAAATTGAGTAAAATAAAAACACGAGCGATAGCTCGATAGTCACGTAGGTCCTTTTTTTTCGATCAAGGCCTCCAAACCGGTTTTCCAAAGGCAATGAAAAATAACGAAAAAAAAAACAATCGAATTTTGTGACTTTAATTCATACCAAAAATAGAAAATATTTAATTATTAATTTTTTTATATTATTAATCAGGGCTCCTCCCCATTTTGGCGAAGGAAAATGCGAACTCTTCACAGCCATTTGGATGTAAATAAAGACGGAGTTATCAGTTATGAAGATTTTATGCTGTTGGCGGAGAGATTCGCTGATTTGGGTCATTTAACGCCAGATGCGAAGAAAGAATTCCAGAAGGTTTTAAGTGTATGTGCAACTTGCAAGAGGAATTCCAGCAATTTTCAGCGTCTGAGATAAAATATTCTTTGATCTAATAATCGAATTATTTGATAACAGGAAATGTGGGAGGAACAATGGGGAGAGATAAGCCCATACAATCTCGTGGGTATCGAACAGTATTTGGAGGAGATGCATCACGTGGTGAATGACTGCTCTCTCAAGAAAAAGTGTCACAATTTTCTCCCCTTTTTATTCAAGGTAATTTAATAATAATAAATAATAATTCCCTATCAATCTTTAGACCCAGCCAACGATTATCTCACTCCTCCGATTTTTTTTTCATTTATTTAGGCAGTAGATCATGACCATAACGGTGAAATAACTGTAGAAGAGTTTAAACTTTTTTTCCGATGTCTCGATCTTGGAAATGACCATGCAGTCGTTTCCTTCACGTTTATCGATACTAATGAGGATGGAAAGATAACGATCGATGAATTTGTCTCACTTGGACGAGACTTTTTCATTTCAGAGGACCACAACAAACCGAGTAAACATTTCTGGGGACCACTCGTCGATTGAAACAAACAATCTCTTCACGAGAAAATATTGTGATAATTAGAGGGATCACTGTGAATGCCACGCCTATGCAAATGCATTTTTTTCTTATCACTTATTCACATTTATTCATTCATATTTTCAAGTTTGAGTGAGATTTAATAATTCACAGTATCCTACCATTAATCTCGAATTTTACAAATCACTTTCACGTACTCTTTACATAATTATGATAAGGTAGTGATAAGATATTTTTTATATATCAAATTTATGGTTTTTCTTATACAATAAATGTTTCTACGATTTTATAGAACTGAACATCATGGGGTTATCTATTTTTTTGAGGCTCGAAGGGAAAAGCCTTTGCCTGTGAATGCCTTGAACTCCTCATTAATTTTCTCCTGGAAAAAAAAATGAGAAAATGATTGATTTAAAAAGAGAAATTCATTTTCAATGAATATGAATAATGGATAGAATATATTAGTCACCTCTTTGACACTGACTGGCTTGACATTTCGAAGAAACTTGATTATCCCAATTTTGTAATCATAATCCGGAATACCTCTTACATAAATGGGCTTATGGGTATCGATTTCTGAAGGTCCATAGTCTTTTCTCTTCTTGCCATCCAACCGATTGCCCTGTCCCTTGAAGGCGATGAAGCCAGTGGCCTCTGGCATCATATTCTCCGGGTCAATACTCTCCTCTTCCTTCTTGAATTCTCGAACAGGTTCCTTGTATCCCACTGGTGGGGCGAATTCCACGTTCATATCACATTCGATAATGCTCACTGCTGGACCTGGTCGTGTCTCCAGGACACACATCTCGTAGATTCGCTGATTGTATTGAATGGCAATTATATCACCTGTGGTCAAACAAGCGAAGCTACGCAGCCCATTCTCCAGGACAGCTTTAGGATTTGTTATGTCGAGAAAATCCTCTGATTGTGGTTGGAATCGAGAAAATGTCGCGACTGGCAACGAGACACTCTCGATGTTTATTATCTCACTTTCTTCTAATAATAAATTGTGCATCATCTGGAAAATTATCGTATATTTTACTCTCCGATTGGTTTTTATTTTTGAATTTTTAGTATTTTTATATTGCTAATACCCAATAAGGTAAATAAACTTTGCCCTCGTCTGCAACAAATTCCAACACTCCACAGTGGGTCACTCGGTTTGTCTTCTTGTTGGTTAATTTAAATAGCATAGGGTAGACAATATTTAATCTTGTTAATTGCTCCAGCGCTGAAGGTGGCATTATAACTGGAAAGAATTGAGAGGAAAACGAATTAATTATAACAATGCAATAAATTTCTTCTGGTTTTAAATGAAATTGTACTTTTTCCTCCTCGTTCTACATCCTGGCGTTCATTCCCTGGGAACATCGATACCGAAAAACATTTGTATTGAGTGTTGAACGGCCTTGGAATATCAGGAAACATGTTAAACGAAAACTGAAACAGCATAAATGTATTTTTATTAATTGTTTAACCTCTTCGTATGCGTTTAATATTACTGGAAGTATTCCTTTGTGGAACTAAAGGACTCACCATCTTTGCAGGTTTTTTTTTTAACGAAATTGATAATTGTTTGGTCTGGCTTGGTGAATTGAATGAAAAGAATTTTAATGGTGAAAATTAATTCAGGAATTATGATGGGATGATAAACGATTTTGACAAGCACTTCATTTTTGTTTTGCGATTGCTCGCTGTCAAAGTGCCTATCGACACAGTATCGATATTTTCAAAATCGATATTTTAAAAGTCGATATTTTTTAATCGAAGCGATGTGAACGTATGGAGAAAACAAAAATTTGGCATTCAAAATTTTCGAGAAAAGTATCAGGAGAATATAAAAGTCGGGGCGGTATTTTGTAAAATTTCAAAATTCAAAATTATTCGAAAAAATATCAGGAGAACATGAGATTTATTTTGAAGTATTTTCCAGAAGAATTAACAATATATAATAATAATAACAGACTTTGAATATAAGGGGATAATGAATAAATTCCAAGACAAATAATGAAAAATTGAATATTTCTTTTTATTTCAGCATTAGCGATACATAAAATGTTGTAAATTAATTATAAATTAATATTTATAATTCCATTATAGATTTCACTCATCATTCAAGCATTTCACTTCGCTTTATTGCTTCTTAGTTTTCTTCTGCTTCTTTTCCTTCTTCTTCTTCTGTACTTTTTCGTCATAAATTCTCCCATTATCATATTTCTTGTTTCGATTCTCGTCACGCCGTTTCCTCGTGACTTTTTTCTTCTTCCTCTTCTCATCTTCAGACGATGTAGACGACGACGAAGAAGACGATGAAGACGAAGAATCTGCAACAAAAAATGAAATAGAATAATTAGCCAATATTAAACAATAATTATTCCAATGACAAAACAATTACTTACCCGAACTATCAGAAGAAGAGCTCGAGGTATCAGAGCTCGAGCTAGACTCAGCAGAAGTCCCGTTTTCCTTCACAACAACTGGTGGAGGCACAGGCTTAGGTCGACTCTTGAGATGCTCCCTCAGATCATCAGTCAATCCTCCGAGACCAATGGACGTAAAAAAATTAATAGCAAATCTCGTATCCCTAGGATTCTCCCTAGGAAATAATCCCTCGAACGCATCCTGAAGAGTCACATCCTTCACCCTGGCATTGAGTTTCGTCAATCCCATGTACTCTGCCAGCTCTTGAAACAGAATCTTTATAAAAACTCTTCCAGAACTCGTGGTATCATCCTCATTCAACTTAATACAGCTCAAAACACCCCAGGATATCGAGTCGGTGAACAGCAAATGCGCAAAGAATTTGGCAACATTTCTCAACTTATTCATGTCCAGTCTATGAATAGTGTCATAAGAATCCTTGAATATCTGCTCAAATTGTGTGATATAAATCTTATTAATAGCGCAAAATCTCCCCGAGAGAAGTCCATAGAATTTTTCATAAGTCCTCATTTCCGCGCAGCAATCCAAAAACATATGACACAATTCAATCTCCTGTCCCGGTTTCAGCTGCATCTTCATGAGCTTGTGAGCGCATTCCTCAAAGTCCAAAGAGGACTGGATCGTCAGATAAATAGTCCTCCTCAAGGCGGTCAAATTGGTCTCAGTATTATCAACAATGAGCCCCTCCTTCTCCTCCCCCTCCTCCCCCTCATCGCTGTCCTCTTCACTATTCTCAGACTCCTCTTCATCATCCTCCTCATCACTCTCGTCATCTAGAATTTCTTTCCTGATAGATTTGTACTTCTCCTCACTCTCAACATATTCAGCATCAAATTTAAAAACATTGAGGATATCCTCAGAGTCCACAGGTTCATCCAGAGTCATCAGATGTGTGTATTGATCATCCTCTTCAACTAAATCCAGCTCCTTGGGTACAGCCTCGTGATCCTTAAATCCATCCTTTCTCACTTGGAACATCACCTCGATCATATACTGCACCCTTTTATCAAGCTGTCCCTCATGAAGAGTATTCCTGAGAGCAGCAAACACCCCCTCGATTCCCCTCTTCGACAACTCCGTGAGTTTCATTCCACATTCCTTAAGAACAGCAATAGCGACTTCGATGGAGTCATCAGTGGGTGTTTCCACCAGCATCGTCAGCAGCTGAAGAACAAGAATCTCATGAGCCACACATTGATTAACCAGATGTGCCATAAAAGTTCCTGAGGATATGCACAGAGGCTTGTCATTTCTCTTGAAGCCTCTCTTGAATTGATTGACTAATCTCTTCAGCAATAGTTCTCCAATATTCGGGAATTTTGAATTTATCACTGCTGTCAGGGCTGCGTAGACTGGTGTGAACGTTGGAGATGCTGCTTGAGCTTGAATTATGGATCTAGCCAGGAGTCCTCTACCCCTCACGATATTCTCCCTGAATAATTCCCTCGTGATGAGTCCTATGTTGCTGGTGTTCACTTTGTTTATGTGACCGTGAATTGACTTCTTCAGGGCTTCCCAGGCAATCCTCTGATAAGCAGCACCTGTTTTATCTGTTATCTCAGCCTGCATCATCCGTAATTTGGCTGGAGGGATGTAGGCACCTCCTGTTTTCGATGTTAAAAGATCAACAGTTCTCTTCTCACTCGGTTTTATCACTCCAGATCCCTTCTCCACCTCTCCTCTCTCTTTATTCCTGCTGCTGTCTCTCTGGGACTTGTTCTCAGCGACATTCTCCTTGTCTCCAAGATCCTTTGGATTTTTTCTCGTTTTAGCAGCCCCTCCGTAAAACCGATCACCAATCAGGGGCTCATTTTCATCAGAATCGTGTGATGAACGTCTTGAGGAATCCCAGTATCTTCGTCCTGGCACTTCCTGGGGTCTTCGCTTAATCTGGTCCTCTCGTCTGTCCCTTCGTTTTCTACTCCTAGATCTCGATCTAGATCGAGATCTAGATCTGTTCCTACTGCTGTTTCTTCTTCTGGTTCTACTTCGACTCCTTCGATGTCTTCGCTCTCGATGATGATGCCTTGACTCATTTTTCCTCCTGGAGTGATCCTCAGATTCTCGATTTTTTGGTGGAGTCTCACTGTGACGAGATAATTCACCTTCATCTCTCTCTGAAGATTCTCGTTGAGAATTTGTTACTGTTGGTGGTATCGGTAAGGAGTTATTCGGATCGAATGCACGACTCGCTACATCGAATTCATTGTAATTATTTGCACTTGATTTTTGGTGTTCCATTGATTTTTTATTCGATACCCGAGAAGAACTTCCAGATGAGTCTGACGATGAGTCGTGACGCCTGCGTTTTTCGTGTCTTTTTCTTCTTGATTCCATGG